GCAGGGTTCTCACAAGTGGAGGAAGTCACACGCAGCGCTTTGGTTGAGCTGGTTTCCGACCTCAAGCTCAAAACCTACTTTGAAAAACCAGCATCTGCTGAAAAGGAGATGCCTTATAAGGGCAGCTTGGAAACCACACGGGAGATACTGTCTAGAGAAAAAGAAAAGCCGACGCAGCTACTAAAACAAGATAATGCAAATAATGTAAGCAGTATGGTATGAGAGGCAGACGGAGTTGCTGCTGCATCAAAATGAAATGGAATATGATTGAAAAGTTTATCAGTAGACATGTTTATTGCATACATTTGTGACACAGAATCCAAATTCTGCTTTTTCTGAAAATTTGAATAATACATGAGACCAAACAAAAAAATATATTTTTAAACAGAGAAATGTCAATGTGCCGCACAGAGTATTAACTCAACACTTGGTCAGGGAATGCATGAATTACTGCATCAATGGAGTGTTGCATGGAGGCAATCAGTCTGCTGAGGTGCTAAGGAAGTCCAAGTTGCTTTCCCAGCTTTAGTTGCTGCAAGCAAAACTTTTAATAATGGAGATAAAAACCAAACGAGTTGCTGCAATGCAAATGATGCATATAGCTATTTATTTTCATTCATCAATAGAAAACTCAAAATTATATACATACATATATGCTTGTGATCCCTGAGAACAAAGTAAAAGCAGCACTTCTTGCAGACGATTAATCAGCTGTCAAAACACAAAAGCCTACACAGCTGCTGGGGCTTACTCTGAACACAAACAGAAGAAGAAGAAGAAGAGGAGGAAGAAGAAGAAGGAAGAAGAAAGAAGAAGAAAGAAGAAAGAAGAAAGAAGAAGAAATAAAGCACCAACTCCCCAGCCAGTACTAACAGGGACATAGACGCTTTCTACTGTATAGCAGGCAATTTCTCAGCCACAACAGGATTATATGGGCTCTGCTGCGACTAGATAATTGAATTCAGGAACGGCCACAGTGCACTGCATCCAATGATCTCTCTCCCACCAGGGTGATGGGAAGAAAGAGGGGCAGAGGGGAGGGGGAAGCTTGTGAATCGTGTTACACCAGATTCAGTTGTGCAACAATACCGTGAGTTGAGAGAAGTTGTAAGCCTATTGAGAGCTTCTTTTTTTTTTTCTGTAATTAACCTATTTGTCAGGATAACGTTTGCAGTTCATCTTTCTGAGATGAGCTACTTTGTGGATTACATAATGTTAACACTTAGTTTCATTTATCAAGCAGCCAAAGAGTGAACGCTCTGGGTTTTATCCAAGAATCTACATAAAAAGGAAAAAAACACCGCACGTTTCCAGTGATGTAACCTGACAGAGATGAGAGTGAGCGCTCCTGTGTGTTGAATTGGTGAGGATATGCACTGAAATGTATTGTGACAGGAATTAACCACCAAAGCTGCTTGTTAATCCTGCCCTGACCTTGTGCAGAATGTACAGAGAACAGTGTCTGTGGGGCTAAAGATAACGCCGCAGCCTTTGTGCTGAAGGAGAACAACACTGCTGATGATGCTGCTTTGTGCCGCCTCTGCTGCCCAAGGTCACGTGTGTCCTTTTGTGGAGTAACAAGACCTGACAAGGTAGCCTTTTGTAGCTCTGATGTACTGATATGTCCACGGACCGTATACAGGGTCTTGCAAAAGTATTTATTTGCCTTTTTTTTTTTTTTTAAATCCCTTTTTTCACATTTTGTCACATTACAACCACTATCTCTGTCGGGGCAAAAACGGTTAAAAACTTTCCTGTTTTAGAACACGACGTTCCCATGTGGCCACGAAGTAAGCCTGGCACTCTGCAACTCCGGTTATTATGAAAAGAAAAAGCAGGAGTTCACTGGGCAAAAGGGAACAGACGGAAGAAGACGCTCTGGTCAAATCCAAAACTGAAATGTTTGGGCTAAATGAAACACACCATGCAACCAAAAACCACTCCAGGTCACCGTCTCCTTGAAACACGGTGGTAGTTTCAAGGAAACTGGTCAAAATTGACCAAAAGATGGATGGAGGTAAATGCAGAGTAGGGAAAAAAGACGGGAGACCGAGGTGAAGGTTCATTTTCCAGCAGAACAACCCTAAATATACAGCCACAGACATCTAGTTTCTTTGGGAAGGTGTGAATGTGCAATCTACCGGTGCGGATAAGGGAAGTAAGACTCTCGCCTGCCTAAAAACATAGGTCTCGGTCCGCTTCAAGTGAATCAAATCTAGGAGATGGGGCACACCGCAGGGCATTGGAGGTAAACACGACCAAAACAAATGTGTTTGTAGCAAAATTGCCAAGAGAAATGGCTCACCATCACTTCAGAGAAAAAGTATACCACAGCTGCTGGTAAACTCTCACAAGAAGGATGAAGTTTTCAATTACTTAGTACAAAAATCGAGGCTATTGGATGCATCTTTATAGTTGAATAGAGTCACACGAATGTGAAAAACTTGGTCAAAAATATATGAATAAAACTTGATAAGCTAAGAAAAAGTGGCAGTTCAGGAGGCGAAATGGACAAGTGTTCTTAGTGTAAACAACCTGATGGCAGCTGGTTGTAACTTAGCAGTCTAAAAACTGACATGGTGACCTCCTTAATTTAACTCTAAAAAGAGACCTTTAAAGTTTTGGGAGTTTTTTTTGTATCGTTGTTCCAGCTGTTTTGACTTTCCAGTTGTTGCTCAGACTAGAGACATGGTGAATTTCCCTAGTATCATGTAAAGACAAATAGGGCTCCAAGCAGCGTAATATTTATACTTAAATCCCAGGGAAACAGAATGTTACAGCCCACAAATAAAATAATAATAATAATAATAAAAAAATCAGACACTGTGACCAAGCTAAAAATTAAGAAATGCTTCAATTACATTTATTTTTTATTAGAATCTTTTTCTATTTTCCCAGATGAAAGAAAAGACAGATTTGTTTTTTAAGGATTTTTACATATCTATACCACGGCTGCCTATAATTATGAAGAGCGCTGAGGTTTGTGTGCTTTTGCTAATGCCACATATGCGCCGTCGTTAAGGCTGGGGTTCTCACATTTAACTGATATACAAATGTGCAGCTGTGGGGTAGGAATGTTCTCAGAAGGGACATTTGACACTTGCTCAGTGAAAGAAAAAGATTCATCTGTTGCACTCTAGCAAGTGTGCCGGAGGCACATTTTATACTGGCAGTTTTACTTTACAAGACGAGTAAAATGTGATAAATAAAGCTTGTAAAAAAAAAAAAAAAAAAAAAGACACAAATCAAACATTTGAGAAATACCACCAGAAAGTAAGTACTGAACACATTTAGTTCTTCTTCTCCTTAAATGCACTTCTAATTAGGCATGTAGCTTACACTAGACAACAACTCAAGCAATCTTAACAGACAAGTAAAATAAAAAAAATAAAAAAACACTTTATAACGTGCAATTTGAATAGGGTAGTAAAATGGATTGACGCAGAATATAAATACTGAACACACGAAGAAACGAAGCTGCCAAGAGCAACAGCATTCCAAGAAACAGAGTCATTTGAAAGTAACCCTGCTTCCTCTCAGTGCAAAAGGTGAACCGCAATAAAAAGGTTTCTCATTACCAAGGTAATGCATAAAGCAGAATGTCATCATGGGTAAACTTTAATAGATTTCTCAAGACCTTTTCAACGTTTTAGTTGCAAACACACTGATGGAAATGGTTACGTACGTAACAACTATGTAACCATAGCTACCATTATTTATTTGTTAACTAAATATCCCAGTTAACAACCCTGGGACCATAACCCAGGAGCGAGTAAATATTTAATACATTTCAGCTGGACTGTTCATATAAATTAATGAATGAGTTAATTAATATACTTTATAAATCCCAGAGGGAAATTCACAAGGACACACATTCTTACTCCCCATACTTTCATGTCATGGTTACCTACTTCAAATATATTTTTATACTATAAAGTAAGCTCAATAACAATTAAAGACATAAGCTTTCAGCCAATTATTTGATATCAACATTTTCAACCCCAACTATATTATTGAACACTCTTCTATGTAAAGCTCTCAGTTGTATTTGCTTAAGCATAACTTAACCAACTTGAGGTGCAGAACTCTTTATTTTGCAGGTTTGCAGGATACATTTCCTTAAGCAGGCTTGTTTAACCAATGCATTGTGGGGTTTGTAGTTTTATCACAGAGTAAGAACACAGATTTTTCTTTAATGTTTATGGAAGAAGTAAAGACTGAGTTGGCATGTAATATAAAACCTCATATACAAACATTAGGTGCATTTAAAACCCAAAGTTACGATTAATAAAACTAGGCCTTTTGAAAACTTTAAACGACGTTACAGAAATCCAGTTATCAATGTTACGACATTGCTGTAATTTCTCCAAAACTTCAAAGATGGACCATCTTCCTACTTACGGGATGGTACTCTTTTGTTTTGAAGATTTTGAAGGAGAATTTATCTTTTAAAGAAAAAGAAATCATCTGTACTCTTTCAAACAGAAGGCAGAGGCGAACATAAGGTCAGCTGAAAATCAGATCTCCGAGTTTGTTCGTGTAGTTCTTGTTTACCCTCCGTGTCAAAGAGTGTGACGATCTGCACTCAGGAAAATGCGGGTATGGTTTTGAGGAAGCTCATGAAGTTACTCTGCATCTGCCTGGAATGCTAAAAATGCGGGTCTGGAAGGGGAGCAGACATGCTTTGGAAAACCGTTTCAATGAATTAAGCATGACACAAAACACACACATTGAAATCCAAACCTTGTTTAATCCTATACAATTTATACCGAGGTGATTGTAGTGTCGGACTTCAAAATATTAGGTAGTGCCAAGCCTCAAAGCTCAGTTGGACCATGGTTAATTTATAACCAGGCTATTCTGAGCGCAGCAAACAGTGCGAAGATGCTGTTAGTGGGGTATGAATGACGAGTGTAACCCTTATTTGGTTTGCCGTAATTTTAGCAAGATACTTTACGCTACAGAAAGACCATGTGGTTCTGCCGGTGTGTGTGACTCACAAGGCTTTGTGTTTGTCTTCAGCCAAGATCTGGTCGTTTGGTTTCAGTCCAAACCTTTCACAAAGAAAAAGGGGAAAGGGATGGTCAATAACCTTATTGTGTTTGTGAGTTTTAGGTAACTTGTAAGTAAAATCAAAGCAACTACTGACACTCACTTGTCAAGGAAATCTTTGTCCACCACGGCTGAGATGTCCAACAAGGGATTTCCCATCCCAAACAGCATGTTTTCACTATGAAGGAGGGAACAAAAACATATTGTATTCTGCAGACTCCCACATAGTGGCTAGGAGAGAGTGGAGGAAACGAGCAATCGGTGCTACGCTGTGAAACAGGAAATCATCTGGTTGGGATTTGTTGTCTTAAACAACAGAAATTTCAGTCAAGGCGCGCACCCCTGTTTTACTGCTTTACCGAGATTGACTCTGCCATCGTTACGTCAGCAACATGTGTGAATTTCTAGTTACCAAAACATGCACATGTATGTTATGTATTTTAATTTGGGATTTTTTTTTTTTTTTTTTTTGCTTGCACAACAATTGTATCTACAAATTCACAGCAATAAGATATAGTGGGCAAAGTCTGCTCCTGACAGGAAATTTTATAACAGCTCAACTAAAATCAGGTCACTTTAAATAAGCAACACAACACAACGACAGGAAATGTCTGTTATTCATAAGATGAATATAATTATTCATTTTATAAAGATGAATAATTATACTTTCGGAAGCGGTTTGTCTTGGTGAACATACACAATATCTCTCCAAACAATATTTTTCAATTAAACTAAGCAAAACACAGGGGGTAGAGTAAAAGCATTTCCTCAAAACATCAATCTTAACAGCTCAACTGCCCTTTGCAGAGTATTTCCTGGTTTGGATCTCACCTTGGTGTTGGCATGATGTCAGAAAATTCCTCCATAAGATTAAATGATCAACAGTTTTCCCCCCTCTCTGACAAAACCAACGTGCTTTCTGAGTCCAGGAACTAGCGCTCCACTTTGGACCAACCCTAATGTTGGTCCAAAGAGTGGGCTGGTCTTTGGTGACCTTCTAGGCATGTGATTGGCTACACATTGGGCAAATATTGTAGGACTTTCAGTGCTGCATTTGAGGTCAATGAAGAAACTAGAACTTGCCATGTAACATGGTCAGCCCTGTTACATTAGCCAATATCATTTTAAGATATACGATATAATTTATGCATAGCCATTAACTCGTCATATGTTAATTAATAAAGAATTTAAAAGCTATAAATCAAGATATGTTAATTCATAGTTTCACCGCTTTTGGTTTATAAATGCACACGTTTAATCAGAATCAGATGGCTTGGGGCATACACGTGATGCATAAACGGGGATTTTCATTTTCTGTTGTATTTATAACCCATATACCTTCATCAGAGAAGAAACATTTATTTTCTTGTGTATGCATTATTGGTCAAAATCCGTGAAGGTTATACTTTAAAAAAAACAACAACAACACAGAAACAGTTGTCAGCCAGGAAAAGCCTGATCTGTACATCTCTACCTAAAACTAGTTTAAGTGTATTAGTAGCTCCCATTAAAAGTTTATCCCGCAAAATTACAAAACACAATACCTGAGAATAATAATAATAATAATAATAATAATAATAATAATAATAATAATAATAATATATTTTCTAAAACAATGATTCTTTACACTATTCTGAAATACTTAATGACTTACACTCAGCAGTGTTTAATGGAAACCTTAGAGAAGAGTTTACGGCTGATATCTTGCTTTCCCAGGCCAATTGAACGCCGCATGGTTCACTTCATTGATTTGTTTCATTTGTAAACAATCCCACAAGCTCATCGTTTGTTTATATTCATGTATCATTTCTTTAATGCTAACAGTTAAATAGTCATTCCGAATATTATTGTTTTGCCGTTAAATATAAGCGCTACTGGTTATTTTCTCATAAACAAAACGTGACTCAAACACTGCCTTAACTTCTTACTAAACCAATAAGTTTATTTCTGGCTTGTTTAACACTGTCAACAATTTATCTTTGTCAAAATAACATACTTCGTTCTTCCTGATTCGTTCTCATTAAAAACTCTCTTCTTTAAAGGACAGTTAGAGGTTGGATGTATGCAGCGACTTTTTTTTTTTTTTTTTTTTTTTCTCCGTGTTCCAGTCATGTTGTGAAACCATGAAATCACGGCAGTCTGCTAGCCGTGATTTGTTTCGTCATGACCCAATAAGCGGAGTACATAAAGAGTCTAAATGAGAGCGGGGTACAGAGGAGGAAAATGCAGGCTTGAAGCGCCTTCTCCCCGCAGCTCCAGCTGTCAGTTAACACAACACCAGAGACGCTAGCTGCAATTAACGGCTAGCAGCAGCGGCGGCTAGCTGCGCGGAGCTCGGCGCATCACTTCGCTTCACAAAAAACAGCCCCGTTTTTGTTTATTTTAATAGTTTTTTTTTTTTACCTCAACGCCGTCTTCATCGTCGAAGTCGACGCGGCTGTTTCTTCCTTAGACATCTCTCTTCACGTGTTCAACGCTTACGTTGTTGATGATGAATCTCTACAGCCTCTTTTCCTCTCTGGCAGGGGAAGAGTAGCAGGAAGCTACCGCTTCCTCCTCATCAGACGATAAAGAACAAATTGTTCGACCGCATGGAAAATAAACAGGGGGAAAAACGAGTTTATTTGTTGTTAGGAATCATTGTGCTTACTCACTTTACGGAGAGTCAAAGTTATGGTGGTTCTTTCCTTCTGGTTGAATTACATCAAGTTCCCCTTCAAAGGTTGCCTATTCCAAGCTGATGAAACGTTTTAACATTTAACGGTGCTGAGAGTATGGATTCACAAGCAAAACTTCTACATGCATTGTTTTTCTTTATTTGAACTATTTAAATAAAAACTACTCATAATCACTATTAAAGTTGCTGCAAACCTTCAGGGAATGTTTCAAGCATATTCAAACTATTAAAGTTTTTACAGAAAACGTTCCCTTGTAGTGCTACAGTCATACTGTCAATGTTTTACCCAGCATCCTTTGCAAAATATCCCCTGAAGGTTGCAACGTAAAGCTTGAGAAAGAAATCTTTGATGGTTATGTGGTGAAATCTGTAGTTTCCTTTAGGAAACCATGACAGAATGCTTCCTGGAGATCACACAGTCAATACTGAAAGTAGTCTGAGAATAGTTCCTTTTAGACCTTAGAAGGTTGCACCATCAATGTTTGTATAGGGTGTAGTGGTGGCTAACTTTAGGAACCAAGAATAACACTCTTTGATGCAGTTAACACTATTGAATAGTAAATTACCTGCCCTAGTATAGCACTTTTATCACGTCTAGAGACTAGAAAGCTCTTTAAACAACAGTCATTCACCCTCTTAAACACACAATTGATGGATGTAAGCAACACTGCAGCCTAGAGGGCAGATTGACGGAAACGAGGCTGCTATCCAATCGGGCCCACCGGGCCCTCTGGCCACTGCTGTTTTGAGAAAGTGGAACATTATAAGAGAATATTTAGAGGTTTACTGACAGTTCACCAAAAGTTACATTTTGAATGTTAAAACTAACCAACAGACAACCTTTAGAAATGGTTTCCTGAAGGTTACATTGTGAAAGTTGTGGTTAACCATATGGTTATCCTTTAGAGGATGTTCTTTGGTTGTTCCGTCTATATTGGAACGAAAAGTTTCGGAAGCCTATTCATAAATGCATCTTTGATTCTGTGATGGTTAGAACATGGGTAGCCTTTATCTACTAAGCTTAATGATTGTTGGGTAAGTCTTTAAACCCTTCACTACATCTACTCTCATTGAATTATTGCGTTTTCTGAGCCGACTGTCTCAGTCTTAAAACTCAGCCATGCAATAATTATGTCTCCCAGGGAACAGACAGTAAACGCAGAGGTGGGTTGTAAATCAGGAAGAAATTGTTTGCGCTCCTGTGTTGAGCTGCTTTGGTTGACTGACTTGATAGCATCAGAGCAAAAAGACTACATTCGTTTCTACTGATAAAAAAAAAAAAAACAACAAACAATCTGAGTGTTATAAAATGCTTTATTACAAAATTGTGAACAATGCTAAAGCAAAATTATCTTTTAGACCCATTATATCCCAACCAAGTTGCATAATTTTTTGTTGTTGAGGGGAAACGTGGTTTGCATAGAGTATTTTGTGAGTACTTGAAAACGGCTTTCAAGAAGAATCCTGTACAATAAGTGTTCTGAACAAATTAACACCGACAGCTTGTACAAACAACACGAAACATCTGAAAATATTAATCGCAAAACAAGGCACATCAGTTTGTTAGACGTCTAAAGTAAACTTCCACAAAAAACAAGGAAAAAAAAAACCTTCAGACGTTTTAAAGTATCTAATACAGAATTACCATAAAAGGTGATCAGTTCCGTTTAGTGTATCAAGACAACTTAGATTAATAGCTGCAGTTACTGTGCTTTATAATGAAGTGTTGCTCATTCTGTGCTATATAAATTTACATTTCTTTCAAGAATTGTGCACACACACAAAAAGAAGTGAACATGTGTCCCAAAAACAAAAGCGGGAGGTTTTATTCAAACTCTCATAGCATACTAGGAATAGTAAACAAATGGCTTTTAGGCTACATAAAGTAGCACAAGGCTGTTTAATAGATGTCATCTTAATGCAATCTAGAATGATTTGAATGAGTCAAATCAGAAACTTGTTCCCTAAATTTCAACTCAAATATGAATTATGGATTAAATAGAGTGTGGCTGAAACATCTTTGGCAGAACTCTAGACTTCTACAACACAAAATGAAACAAATATCAGCATTTCTCTTTCGCTTCATGAAGTGCAGAATCTCAAACGGAAGCAACGCAACTTATATTCCATCTGCACTGAGCAAATACCTCTGCTGTACTTGTAACAACTCCTTAAGTTTATGTGCTTATCCAAGCAAAGCAGAAGCAATTGTGATAATAAAATATTCAGTATAAAGATATAAAAAATGTTTTGTAATTCAGTTTAACTTAATGTGGCCTGAATCTCGGAACGTCCACACATAATTACCCTCGCATGATATGAAATCTAACCTCTGATCAATATATAAATATGCATATTTCAAGAAGTCTTTATCATAACCCCTAAAATATATTTCAAACTAATAGTCCCACCTTTTATATTATATCAGAACAGCAACCGCTACAGACAGGACATATGAGGGAGAAACTTTGCCCATATATAGACGTGGGGCAGTGTAATCGCTGCTTTGATGAAGCATATGTCTGTCCATTCATCGTCCCGGTGAACAGCTGGGCAGAACCAGCACCAAGCAGAGGACTGATGGCTCGTCTCTTACTGGTACCAGGGGGTCTTTCTGACCCAGTGGAGGGTGAAACCTGCATCTGTCCGGATCTTAATGGAGGCCGCCTCCGCCTCTCTGACAGTCTCCTTCACAGACTGCATCAGATTCTGGGCGTTGTGGACCAACATTTCAGTCGCCTGAAGCACAAAGAATAAAAAGGGATTCAATGATGAGGGAGGGTTTAAGTGATGCCTTTGCAAAAGATTCCCGAAACATTTGATTCCACACATCACTACCTAATATTAGTTAGTTTTAATTATCACTATGGACATGCTTCAGATTTTCAAACAGAGATTTTACATGTCAAATCTGTAACCACCACAGATTGTAAAGATGGATATAGATGAAAAATGAATGAATGCTCAAAGAAGATAAAATGGGCAGGGGTGATAGATTTAAGGAAAATGGAGAAATGGGTGGAGAGATGGATGAATGGAGAGATAATGGAGGGAGATTTGGATTGATAAATAGATGAGTGGACCAATGAATGAATTGACAGATACTGATTAATAAACAAATGGGCGACATGGATGGATAAACTGAAGGATTAAAAGATGAATTGACAAATGGAAAAACTGATGATTTAAGAAAAAAAGATGGATGACAGGAGGGACACAGTGAAGGATGCACAGGCGGATGGATAGAGATAATTTGATAGGATAAATAAACGGGTGGTTGAATTGATGGAGTAACATCTAGATGGTTGGATGGTTAACCAGATAAAGAGATGGAGAAAAAAAAAAGGATAAATAAATAAACACTTTTGTTTTCCATATTGATCTAAACATAAGAAACAAACTCCATACTTTTCTAGACTGCATGAGGACCATAACTATGTTAAGATAATATTAGGAAGTCGATAAATGTTCTCACCTGCTCAGACTCCTCCTCACTGATGTTGGTACGGCCCAACATGGTGGCCTTGACAGTGGACAGGATTTTGAGCTGAGTGCTGATGGTGGGAATGCGCTCACACACCTGAAATGAGGTCAAAGTGTCAAAAAATATACACTTTTTTTTTAATTAAAACATTATCAGTTTGTAACTTAAATGGTTTCTTTTACGGACCTGGAGCAGGTTGGTCCGGATTCGTTTGTCAGTACACTGCTTGGCCACTTCCTTCGCCAGCCGCGTGACTTCGTCAGAGGCTTTGGCGATGTCCTTGGCGCACTGGATCAGGGCGCGTTTGTTTCCGCTGCCTCCACGCACCAAACGGGACATCTCGGCCATGAGCAGGGCCATTCGCTTGGCAGCGCCGATGATGTCGTTTCCCTGTGAGGAACAACAGAATCAGCAGGTGCCTGAAAGCGTATTTGTTCTGTCTACCCCAGAAAACTGACATGATGGAGAGATCCACTGATGGTTGCTAAACAATTCTTATTGGTTGAATATTCCAAAATCTGAATGTTACAAGCTTTCTCTAACTTTAAAGTGACTTGAATTCTTTTTATTTTCACAGCCAGAGGTTCTTTTCTCTTCTTTTTCAGAGAATCAGCAGCTGAACACAATGTCCTTCTCTGCAAACTTTATTTAGGAATCCACAACAGTTACCGATGTCTATGCAATTTGGAGAGGCTTTACTTACTTTCTAAACTGTAACCACAATGGAACAATCTTAGGTTAATACATTATTAGGTTTTTCAGAGTTTTTCAAATCTCCTCCTCTGGACCTAGTGCTTTAGAAAGAGATTCCTTTGACACAGTTCAATGAAGGTGTGGCAATGACAATGAGATTTCCTGCTGTGCAAATGATAGTTGGCAGATTAACAGGCCACAGATAACTTGCATTTCACCTTCTAGTGTTATGTTTTCAATGCATGAGGTAGAAGCCATTATAACAGTTAAAATACTAACTCTTGTTTGAATTCTTGGACAAGAGACTGAGCTAATGCATGCCGTTTCCTCCAGGTACTAACAAGTCCAAATTGGTGCAACTTTCAATTGCACATACATAAAAAAAATAAATAAAAAAAATGCTGATAATGGCCCGGTTGCACATTGATCTGTGCTGTAAACTTTGTTTTAGTGAGTTCTTACTTTGCTGGACCATTTGCGGGCTTCGTCGTGAAGCTGCCTGGCAGCCACCATCATGGGCTCATTGACTTTCTCTCCAGCTTTGTGCTCTGGGAACTCCTCGTCTTTCTCCTCAGGAGGAGGAGGTCTGGGTGGAGGAACTTCTCCCTCTGGAAGAGGAGGCTTGGGCGGTGCTGCTTCATCGTTGAGCTGTACAGGTAAAGTAATTTGACAGGTAAGGCGCACAAGGGTTTGGACACTTGGGTTCTAAGTCGTGGTCGTCTATGTTCTTACGTTGAGTTGATCCAGCTCCGGAGGTGGTGGTGGGAAGTCTGGCTCTTGAGGCTGGAAGGCCTCCCTAACCTTTGCTACAGCTCCAAGAATCTTATAACCCGAATCCAAAAATCCCTTCTGAAGATCTGTAAAATAAAATTCAAATAAAAAAACAAACATATTTTTACTCATCACAGGTTCCAAATACAACCCAAAAAGAAATCCTTCTCATTAGCATTCGTGATTTACTTGGATCCTGGATATTTCCAGCCACTGCCTTTGCATTCATCACCATGGGAGAAATCGTCTGGCTCAGTTCATCTGATGCAGCTTTCACCATTTCTCTGAATTTTGGATCTTCGGAGTTCTCCACCTCTCGTTTTGCCACCAGAAGGATGCGGTTGGCTCGTCGGGCGATGCTGGTAGCGCCGGCCACCAGCATCTGAGGCTGGTGATTGGTCATGGCAACGCGGCATTTATCCAAGTCCTTCTTTATGGCGTCTTCAGAGGCGTCCAGCAGAGATTTGGTATCGATGGCCTCGTCGACCAAAACTGGTAAAGCACAGAAGACCAATCAGTAGCTTGAAGATTTGTTTAAATGGAAAACTATAAATACCACTAAAACATTTTGCACATTTCCTAGCAACCACAAATTACACCTCTTGGGGATTTTGTGTGACAAATCACCGCAGGGTAGCACACAATTGTGAAATGGAAGGAAAACGCTACACAGTTTTCAAATAGAAAAACAACCTGAAAAATTTGGCAGGCAGTTTTACAAAGACCTTTGTTACTTTGACTCCCCTAAATAAAATCCAGTGTAAAAGTTTCCCAGAAGTCACCAAATTCACCAATAGTAAAAAGTAAAAGTGTTCTGTGAAAGCTCCAAAGGTTTGCTTGAGAACCTTAATGATTAGAAGGCCTATTGTAACTCTGGAGGACTTGCAGAACCTCCACAACTCAGGTGGGAGAATCTATCAAGACAAAAGTTAGTCAGACAATCTAATAATCTCAAATTTCTGAAAGTGTTGAAAGAAAATACCAGTAAACATACAGTTGGCACAGCTGTGGAGTGTTTTACGCCAAAGATTCAATTTCACTCGATGTGCAAAGCTGGTAGAGATGTACTGAAACACCTGCAGCTTTAACTGAGGTGAAATGTGGTCCAACAAAGAACAGCTGAATACACCACACCTTTCAGTTTTTTTATTTACACAGTGATGTATTGTTTTCCCTGTTTTCTCTATTACAGAGTTCCAACAAAACTCAGAAAAGCTTCTAGTTGTAATGTGACAAAATGTGGAAAAGTCCAGGGGTGTGAATACTTTTCCAACTTACCAGTCATCTTTTCCACATTGTCAATCCACTGATTCTTCATGGTCTCAAAATGTTCATATGCTGCCTGGTTACCAGGGTTTCTCAGCAGAATGCGAGCAGCGGAGACCACCTAAAAAAAAAAAAAGCAATGAACTAATTATAACGAACAGATGTGAGAAACTCTTGAACCGTTTCTGTGGCTTTTGTTTCAGGGAGGAGGTCAAACCAGAACAGAAAACCACTCAGCCTTGACCTACTTGTGGTGTTAGGTCTCTGGTTGACTTGACGGCAGCCTGGATTCCCTCCACTGTACTCTTGTTCGCAGTGCCGACTGCGGCCGCCTTCTCGGCCGTGGCGCCGAGTCGGTTGGCGTGGTTCTCGAAGTTGGCGGCTCTGTCCTCAAAGACCTACACATTCAGAGTAAAGTTGGGACCCAAAAGTACTGACAGAAAGAATACAGCACTCTGCCGATTAATGTCCCAGTGACCTCGTCTCTGTTGGGAGCGTCGAGGGGCGCCGTAGCGGCCACTGCCAGCAGCTTGATGGGGGTGGTGGTGTCACTGAAGATGTCAGACACTTCCTGAGTCATTGCCTCCTGCATCTTTCCTTTCAGGTCCTGAGAGAAGGATGAACACATATTACCAGCAAACTAGCAACCTCATGAAATCTTTGCTGATTTTAAAACACGCGATTTCTTAGTTTTTATAAAGTAATATAAAGCATATTTAAATATAACCCAGTTTACAAAATTGGGTTATATTTAACAGACATTTTTTTCAGATATTATGAAGAAATATTTGGACATTTTTCTTAAAAATTAGAATTTTAGCATTAGTTTGGTCAACTTGTTCTTCTTGTTACCTTAAAGAATCAAGCAGAACTGAAAAGTGACATGAAACATTTCCAGAGCAAGTATGAGAAAGCACTAGTTTTTACTTTATGAACCAAAAAGTATCAATATATATTTTAACATATATGCCACTGAAATTACAGTATTTTGTAAGGTCCAATTAAAATTTTTAAAAAAAAAAAAAAAAAAAGAAAAACAACTCATTTCAAGCCTAAAATTTCCCAGAAATCCAAAATAACCAGCTTTTATTTCATCTACCAGAAACAACCAGCAGAGGGAGCCATTTCATCATGTATGAATCCTGAGCTCTCCCTGTGGAGTTTTCTTTGAGAGCTGCTGGTGGAGTGTGAGTAGCAGTCTTACTTTCAAGGCCTCCTGGAGCTGCTGAGCCACGGCGCGTGCCTGCGGGGAGTCCCCTTCGCCACGGGCAGCCAAGTCAGCCAGCTGGGCCATGAGCTGCTCCACCTGCTCACACTTCCCCATCAGCTCCTGCCTGTACGGGCCCTGCAGAGCGTTGGCCAGCCGGCGGCCCTCGGCCACCAGCCCACGGATGGCTGCCTGGCCTGAAAGCACAAAACGCACAGGAAACGTTTTACAGGCTTGAATGCAGATTACTATTTTTGAAACAGAACTGATAAGAGGCAAACTGAAGTTCCTTGTTTGTTTTTTTTCCCTGTGCCACCAAAGCAGCAAATTTCTGTTCTTGATTTATGCTGCATCATAACACTTGTTTCCTTTGTAGCTAGACCAGTTTACTTCCTGCAGGCTATTTTGACTTCAGTTCCACATAAAATTCTAGTAAATGTAAAAATGCCAAAAGCATTGCTGACTTTTTTTTTTTTTACTTTTTGCACAAAATTAAATTACTATTATACCATTACTGTTATTATTTAAGTAACAGATTACAAAATAGTTACAAGGATACATGATTTTTGTTTACAAATAATCTGCAAAACTTTCCATTTTAGTCTTATTCCTAGAAATAAAATTCAATGCAACCAACTTTCTTCAGTTGTCACCTAGCTGGTAAATAGTGTCCACCCTAGTATAACTTATTCTGAGTATACATACTGAGCTCTATTCAATGTTGAATTTTTTTTTATATTGTGCAGTCTTAATCAAAATACACGATTCTGGTAGAACACGTGACAGAAGCTCCAAAAGAATCGAAGCTGCAATGGAGGTTCATCTTCCAGCAGCACAATGACTGTAAACCTACAGCGGAAGCAACAGTGAGTGGTTTACATCAAACCACTTAGATGGCACAATCTGACCTAAAGCTAATTGAGGATTTGAGGTAAGACTTGCAGATGATTGCCATCCAATCTGACAAAAATATTTTGATAATAAAAAGGCCAAATATTTCAATGTTTTTGCAAAGCAGGTAGCATACTCAAAAAAACCTGCAGTGGTAATTTCAGCTAGAGGTGATTTTATAAAGTTTTGACGAAGGGGCGATGGAAACAAATGAACACTGAAAACAGTTTGTTTTTACCTGTAAAAAAAAAAAAAAAAAAAGACAGGCATGGTTTTACTTCAACTTTGTGTTGATCTACTGCATAAAATCCCATTCAAAACTAAAGTTTATTGCAACACGACCAAGTTAAAAAAAAAAAAATAAATAATAATAATAATAAT